TTAGCCGGCGTCATCTTAAATTGTAACTTAACCAGAAGCACTTCTCAGCACATACACAAACAAATGGAGGAGCTTTTCTGTGTAAACTTCATGTTTGTGTTAATTAATGGAGCCACTATTAGAAGTAGATGGGGAAGCTGCTGCACCATATATGTTTGACTGTCTAACTGACACTTAGATTAGAGCCTGAATTCATTCAGGCTGGAGCCAAACTTGGGTATCCTTAAGCTGTCTACCCTCTTCCTAGAGGCACCTACTTTCACTCTTTGCAGCAGGATCTGGTGAAGTACGTGATGTGAATAATTCCCTGCTATTTCTAAGAGTAGTTCTGTCACAGGTTAACTAGCCACAAATGGCTTCACGTCAAAACACATTTATTACACTCACCAACTCATCCACTGGTGTTGCTTTGATCTCCTCTAGGGTAGGCTCCAGCCTATGTACCCACGCTTAAATCTTGACTATAGAAATATCTGTGTGGTTCTTCTGTAACAGATGGATCTGGTGATCTGCAGTATGGGTGTAATGCCATCAGTGTACTGAGTATGCTGCAGTCTGTATTCCCTGATTTACTACTCTAGGATGCTTATGAGGTGTACCGAAAAGTGGTGAGGAACAGGGGAAGCAGCAAGGTGTCCCAGCGGTATACTACAGAAGCCATTCTCCATTCAGCTTTGAGTAGAGTTTTTTTAATTTCAGGATATGTTCACTGTTACACAAAAGGTAACTACATGTAGCAGTGTTAGTGTTCAACCTGATTAATTCCTGTGTCTTTAATCTTTTACTTTGAGCACTGTAGTTCACCAAATTATTTAATGCTGTTGTGCTGTGATGTATATGCTGACATTCCAGTAATCGGTTGTCCATAGGAATTGTTGCAAATAGCTATTGGTTCACTGGGCTGATACTTTCTGTAGTAATATTTTTAGAGAAGCTCGTACAGTGTAATTCATCAGACAATTAAGATTTTTAGTCAGTTAAGTAGTAAGTATTACAAAATTAGGTTTAGTCTTAATACACATGACTCATAAACATTCAAAGGTGAATACATGGGGGTTTTGGCTTACAAATGTAAAATGTCAGCAAAAAAATAAATAATAAAACTTCAGTAGGAGAGACCATGGCATAATTAATAACAATATTCAACCCTCATTTAAAGAAAATCATGAAATGGCAAGGCTGCTTGGAGCAGATTCAGTTCACTGAGGTAAAAAAAAAACCCAACACATTTATTCCTGTAACTTCTTTGTGACAATTAAAAGGCCTGTGTCCCAATCAAACACAGGTTTACAAAGTGGTTCTAAATTCTCTAGACACAATAACTGTAGTCTCTGTAGATACTCTCTGTTTCTGCTGCCTTTGCGTGTTTTGGTGCTATCCAGAGGTGTATCAGTGCTGTCGTGTGACATATACACACAGCATGAGTTCAGGTTTATGCATGTTTGGTAATGATTTCACCTGCAAGCCAGTGTGCTGTGGTCTGTACTTCAGTGGGAACCTACATGTATGTGTCATACCTAAGTGCACATTTCAAAGTGGACTTCTGTTGTTGCATTCATTCAATAGTTTGCAGAAATGCACTGCACTGTTTAAAAGGAGGCTAGAAGTAGAGGGAAGTAACATCTGAACTTGACTAGCAACCTTCTGAAGTATGTCTTTTTGCCTGCACTTGATCACTGGTTTGTCCCTTTCTCCATTTCTGTAGAGTTAAATGGGATTACCAATTACTTGAATTCAAGCAGCCCTTGAAGCATGAACAAATAATGTTATTTTTTATTGCATACACTTTCTCCAGTGGCAAAAGATTTTTTTATTTTTTTTTTATTATTGATTTTAAAAGAAAATTGCCTTGGGGTTAGCAATAAGATTTTAAGCAGATTCTAAAATTATGAAGTTACTGGGAGAAGATGTGGACTAGTGTTGGATTGTACTTGACTGCCTTGCAGCTGCATTTTCAAGACCTGTGTAAGCTGGTTTGGAACATCTGTTCCATTGCTTTCAAACTGGAAACCTTACCAAGAGCTACATTAAAATGTTTCCAATTCCTTAAAATTCAAGGTTTACTTCCCTGGGGAAAAAACTCTGAATATGATTGAATCTAGTAGAAATCTGATGTGGATGGCTATTGACAGCTTTTTCCAATACAGAACAGTATTTTTAAAAAACTTCTTATTAGGAGGAGGGGGGAAGAGGATCGGGAGCTCTTTCGCTTAAATTCCTGTTACTAGAAGTCATTTAAGGAACAAGAATGCCTCTACTGGCATTTGCAGACTACAAATCTTCAAATTTGTAGTCTTAGGGGGGAAACCCAGGAATCAATAAATCTAAGAAATTTAACCCGAATCACCAGAACCTTCATAACTGTGGTTTGCATTCACCCTTGTCAGTACTAGCTACTGGTAGTTTCATGTGCCGATCTCTTTATGGGCATTACAAGCTGTAGTTGCCAAAACACTTTTCTAATGTAGTAAGTCAGACAAAAAAGCTGGGAGGTCTGCATGGATGAACAAGGAGCTCCTGGACAAACTCCGAGACAAAAAGTAAGAGGGTGGAAGCAAGGACAGGTAGCCTGGGAGGAATGACTTTTTTGCCTCAGTTGTGGTAAATGCTCCCGCCACGCTGACCGAGTTGCAGAACACAAAGGAAGGGACTGGGAGGATGAAGTGCTTCTCACTGTAAAAGAAGATTGGGAGAATGGAGTGCTTCTCACTGTAAAAGAAGATCGGGTTTGAGAACATCTAAGGAGCCTGAAGGTGCACAAGTCCATGGGACCTGATGAGATACATCAGCGGGAACTGGCAGATGTAGTTGCCAGACCATTTTCCATCATATTTGAGAAGTCATGGCAGTCTGGTGAAGTTCCCACTGACTGGAAACATAATCCCCATTTTTAAAAAGGAAAAAAAGAAACACCAAGGGAACTACAGGCCAGTCAGTCTCACCTCAGTGCCCAACAAGATCCTCCTGGAAACTATGCTAAGGCACATGGAAAATAGGGACATGACTGATGACAGCCAGCATGGCTTCACTAAGGGCAAATTGTGCCTGACACATTTGGCTGCCTTCTAAGATGGGGTCACAGCACTGGTGGATAAGGGAAGAGCAACTAACATCAGCAACCTGTACTTGTGCAAAGTGTTTGACACTGTCCCGCTCAACATCATCTTCTCTAAACTGAAGAGACATGGATTCAATGGATAAGGAATTGGCTGGATGGTCACAATCAAAGAGCCGATGTCAATGGCTTGATGTCCAAGTGGAGACCAGTGACGAGTAGTGTTCCTCAGGGGTTGGTGTTGGGACTGATCCTGTTCAACATCTTTGTCAGTGACACGGACAGTGGGATTGAGTGCGCCCTCAGCAAGTTTGCCAACGACACCAAGCTGTGTGGCTCGGTTGATACGCTGGAGGGAAGGGATGCCATCCAGAGGGACCTGGACACGCTTGTGAGGTGGGACCATGCCAACCTCATGAAGTTTAACCAAGCCAAGTGCAAGGTCCTACACCTGGGTCGGCACAACCCCAGGCACAGCTACAGGCTGGGAGGAGAAGAGATTCAGAGCAGCCCTGTGGAGGAGGACTTGGGAGTGTTGGTGGACAAGAAGCTCAGCATGACTAAGTAGTGTGCGCTTACAGCCCAGAAAGCTGACTGTGTTCTGAACTGCATCAAAAGAAACATGACCAGCAGGTCAAGGGAGGTGATTCCCCCTCTCTACTCTGCTCTCGTGAGGCCCCACCTATGTTCAGTTCTAGAGCACCCAATATAAGAAGGACCATGGACCTGTTGAAGCAAGTCCAGAGGAGGGCCACGAAGATGATCAGGGGGCTGGAGCACCTCTCCTATGAAGACAGACTGAGAGACTTAGGGTTGTTCAGCCTGGAGAAGAGAAGGCTCAGGGGACACCTTATAGCAGCCTTCCAGTACCTAAAGGGGGCCTACAGGAAACCTGGAAGGGAATTTTTGTAAGAGCAAATAGTGATAGGACCAGGGGGAATGGCTTTAAACTGGAAGAGGGGAGACTTAGATTAGATATAAGGAAGAAATAATTCACTATGAGGGTGGTGAGGCACTGGAACAGGTTGCGCAGAGAAGCTGTGGCTGGCGCACCCCTTGGAAAGTTTCCAGGGATGGGGCTTTGAGCAACCTGGTCTAGTGGAAGGTGTCCCTTCCTGTGGCAGGGGGTTTGGAACTAGATGATCTGTAAGGTCTCTTCCAAGCTAAACTGTTCTGTGATTCTGTGATTCTATTATCAAAACCCTCAGTGTCTCAGATGCAGAAAGCCCACTTGAGCATGCAGTTGCAAGAATGAACCATACAAACAATTCTCTGTGCAGAGAACTGAGAGGGTTAAAGTGTTATTTTGGACAAACTAGGCAGGGAGGAGGAGCTGACTTAAAGTAGGATCACTTCCGCAGTTCATTTTGCTGCACAACCTGCAAACAACTGTGCCAGGACAGGTCTTGAAGGTTTCTGGGTTGTACATTAAATAGTCACCAGGTAAAGAACAACTGTTATTCACATTCTGTTATGCAAAGTAACATAAATAATTTCTCACATCTGTGCTGCTGCCTTTATTTTTGACTTAGAAAGTACAGGGAGAATCCATCAGGTCAGTGTAAAGCCACAGCAGGTAGTTGTCCCCTTTGATGAAGGTACTACAGATGTAGATTGACAGAGCACATTTGGCTGTTTTGTCTTTGAGAATGTTTAAATCATGATTGTGGCAGAATGAAAAGTGAGCAGTGGTCTGAGCACAGCATGACCTGTATCTTCAGGAACAGGACACAGTGGTGGTGTTTGTATGCTGTCTATGGTGTGAGCCATTCACTCAGGGAAATTAATTTCCCTTTCATGTGCATCTGACCTGGGGAGCATTGGTATCAGCTTCATAACTGAACACCAACCTCCTTAAATCAGGTTGGGGATTTAATTAACAGTGCTACCACCTTTCTTCTGGAAATAAGTGTGACTGTATTTCCTATTTCATGTTCTTCTTCAGGGCATTTGATGTGGAACTTCTTTATATAGCTCAGCGCTTGAGAATACCTATAGCAGAAGTTGCTGTCAACTGGACCGAAATTGAAGGTAGGGAAATTGTTTATGTTCTTGTAAGATTCCTTACATGTCAATCCAGAATAAAATATCCAAGGGTCTTCCCATATTTTACCCAGTTTCGATAATACACAGCCTTGTTTCCATACAAATTTTGAATTTCATGTCCTTGCCAGCCTTTTGCCATGACATGGTACAGGAAGTGTAGCTGAAGGGGTTAGCAAGGGAGAGAAAGAAACTCTTCACTCCCACTGGAGACAAAAGTAGGTAGTTACACTGCTAGGATAAAGCACTGCTTTGGCATGTCCCCTTGCTATAATGCGTTAATAAAAACACTGCAATTGTAAAACACTGTACAGGAAGTCTGACCATCATTGTTCGTTGATTCAACTCCATTTCACTGTGTCTTGCCTTCCAAAATTCTCAGCCCACCTATTAAAGCCTCCTCTGGGGCACCCTCTCTTCTGAAGATGTGTTGTTCTTTCAGAGCTGTAGGAAGGTCTCTGTTACTGGGTTACTGGAAGGTATAGTTCCATACGTATTTCTTCATAAGCAAAGCCAGTTTAAGAGGTACTGCTTGCTTCTTCTCACTTCCTCCCTTCCGTCAAATGCAGTTCCTTATTTTTTGCCTCTCTTTTTTTATCTTTTTTTTTTTTCTCAACACAACCACCGAACAACAGAAAGTATAATGAACTGCAGTGGTGATGGAGGGTGCAAGTAGAGAACATCCTAAGTTGACTTCACTAGAAAAGAAATGCTTTCAGTGCAGTTCCACATGTATATTGAACCTAAGACAAATATTTGCAGAGATGGAGGAGGGCTTGGTTTCATAATGTGGGTTCCTTACCTTGCCTGAAGATTGGCACATTCATGTTGCTGCTGGTGGTCCTCTTCTCCAATGTTGCTAAGAAATCCCTTGCTTAATTATCAATGTTCAGGTTCCTATATATTTGAACAAAACTTTGTCACAGAGAACACTATGCATCTTGTGACATACATGTAATTACTGTGCTGCTTGCAAACTAGAATCTCCCATTTATGGTATAATGTAATTACTACAAAGCAATAACTTTTGCAATATGAATTTTTATTAATGTTGAAGTCTAGGTTGTGGGGCTGAATGTGCTGAGAATGTAGAGGTTCATGACTACTCAAATGTCTCTTGCCAATGCTCATTTTTTCTAACAACATCCTTTTGATTTTCTTCTTCATTAATCACAGGTTCTAAGTTAGTTCCCTTTTGGAGCTGGCTGCAGATGGGCAGGGATCTCCTTTTTATACGACTGCGATATATGACTGGTGCCTGGCAGCTTGAAACAAGAAAATGTAATTAGGTTATTTACATTTTCCAAATATATTATTATATTTAATGGAACATGAGAACAGTTTCAATCAAGTGAAGTGGTGATGAAAGCTGAGGTAATTCTTCATTGCTCCTGTTGTATGTTTCATTTTTGCAGCACGTATGTGTTTTATAAGGTTGTCAGCAGAAGATTTGTACCATGTTTTGAAAAGAGAAAGCATTTCTAAAAATGTTTTCTTATCTGGTAATCAGGTTTTTATAATATTAAATAGTAGCTTTAACATGTCTTATAAATTCACTCAAATAAATATATCTTCTTTTGTCTCATCATACATTTGGAATTTCTTCACGTATATTAAAAGGAGGCAGTCTATTCTACATGGTGCAATATTGTGTTGTGAATGACCACAACCATTTGTTTCTATAGTAGCTGGAAATATATGGCCATATTGCACCTTGGAATTATCAATCATGGTTCACACTGATGCATGTTTAGATTCAGTGTTACGGGAAATATTAATGGGTTTTACTGAGTTATGACAGTAATGTTCATAAGGGTGTTCTAAGAACTTTCAATAGTTTCTTGACATTCCAAATGTTTTTGTCTGAAGCTGAAATAGTTTGTCTGAGATCAGACTGCAGATTGTCTCCAGACTCTGGAAGGTCCAAGAGAAAGTACTTTTCATTTGAAAATGTTGTCTTTTGTAAGTATGTTTTGCTCAATGTACAAATTAATACTGTATGTTCAAGGTTGGGAGTCCTTGGCATCTACAAATCTGTAGTGCAAAGGGTACGGAAAGATAATTCAGAGCATACAAAAATGAGACCCGATGTACACTAGGGGCCTGTGCATTAGCAGTGCCAGTCTGACATTCTCACACTTCAAATGAGATCAGAGAGGGAGGAAGGGGTCTTGAGTCGTTCTTTGTAACGTCATACCCTTGTTACTTTCTGTAAACAAGGGTATGACAAGGTTCAATAGTGCTTTCAAAACAATTGTGGATTGCCAACAAACTAAGCCAATCTTGCTTTCAGAAAGTTACAAATCTGAACAGATTTCAAGAATGAGTGGTGTATGGTTGTACTTTCACATATGGTTGCACTGGTGATTTTTCTTATTCCTTCTGCAGTATTGAGTTTTGCTTCTGTTAAGGTTACCTCAGTTTTCTATGCATTGAAGTGTTGGAATAAATTATCGAGAAGTACCTCCAGTTTGATTTTGCAGGCTTTATTCTCTTGCCTAGTCCACATACATCTCTACCACTTCTGCAGAATCCATCATGACTCCTTGTTGCTATTGCTAGAATAAAATACCAGCTTCTCAGTTTTTGTACCCTGATCAAACCTGGGCGATGATAGCTCTGCCTCTAATTATAGTTGCCAACCAGTTCTTAAAATTTTCCTTAATTTTAAGATTCCTAAAATTTTCCTCAAGTTTTACATCAAAATTGAGCTTATTTGAAATTTTAACCAAAATAGTTCACCTTTTTCAAACGATGAGGCTTAGGTCATGTGTTATTTTCTGCATGGTAAGTAAACATCTGGTGACATTTTCTTTAAACAAAAATTCTACTTTTGAATTGGATGCCAAAGCTTGGAAGTGAGGGGGAGGCTAAATTTATTATTGTTAAATTAATCTGTGCATTTCTACAAAGTTTTTTCAAAACTTTGCAGATAAAGTCCCCGTTAACACTCTCCTATTGAGCAGTCTCTCGGCAGCTGTCCCTACGTCAGTCCGACAAAATACTTGGTATCTTCCACCTCAGGGATGCCAAAGTAAGGCTAGGTTTGCCATCTTTGAGCTGTGTGGCGTTGGATGCTGGGAATGTGGGGTTGTTGGCAGGAAGTTCTCCTATGCTTTCAGTGGATAAAGGTCGCTGCACATCTTGGTAGTGCAGACTCTGCTCTCTGTCTCTGAGGTTGATAGACATGGCACTGGTCACAGCCATATGCCTACATCTCCCTTCTCAGCTGCCTTTCAAAGCAGGCTTGCTACATCTAAACTGTTTGTTGGAGATAGTCCATGACCTGCCCATAAATATTTTGAGAGCAGGGACAGACAGCTGTGGGACACCTGGCACGGTGTAGTCTGACACGCTCTGTTCAGTACATGCTGAACTGGGATGAAAAAATGAAAGGAGTAAACTGGGACAGAGGGAGAATGGGGAGAAACAGAAAATAAGGTTGATCTGGGGCTGAGATTGGAAGCCAGAGAGTGAAATGGAAGATGGGAAGTACTGAGACTGCATGAGGAATGGGTGTGGAACAGCAATGGACTCAGTAAAGACTGGAGCAAGGGAATGGGGAATGAGACAGATCAGTTAAGGGTGGTAAAAAGGAAATGTTGCTGCCAGGGGAGGGGGAAGCAGAAGGGCCTCACTAAGCCAAGTAATCCACAAGAATAGGGTTAGGACAGAAATTGTCTAAAACAAATTGAGACTGAGAATACAGTGATATTTAGAGTCTGGGCTGGAAATCTGGACCCCTTTTCTAGCGTTTCTCAGCCATTATTTGACCTCTGCAAAATCCTTTGGCAAATCATCTCTCATCTTTCTGTGCTGGTCCATAAAGAGAACAACTGGCTACCAGTAGCAGTTGTTCTTCCGCCCTGGTCACTGAAACTTGCAGTAGATTTTCAGGCTCCAATTCTGAACTGCATGAAGGAGCAATGGGATCTTTCACAAAGATGTGGGAGATGATACAAACAAACAAAGTTTCAATGAAAGCTCACTTTTCAGAATTACAAAGCCAGGTAGGAAACAAAAGTAGCCTTTCTGCCTTGTTCCCACATTGTTTTTACTGCTATGACAGGAGATACTTTCTTATGTAAGGACTACTTTTCTTGAAAGACATATTTGTAGTGCATGGGACTGATTCAGGAAACTGAGTTGTCCGGCAAAGGCAACTAGATTGGCCTTCTGTTTATAAAATAGAAGTTTGGATAGAGTATAAATGAGACAAAGAATCAAAGAGAGTCAGTATATTCTCCGTTACCAGATAAAGTTAGACAGGCATATAGAATCATAGTTAGGGTTGGAAAGGACCTTAAGATCATCTAGTTCCAACACCCCTGCCATGGGCAGGGACACCTTGCACTAGACCATGTCACCCAAGGCTCTGTCCAGCCTGGCCTTGAACACTGCCAGGGTTGGAGCATTCACAACTTCCTTGGGCAACCTATACCAGTGCCTCACCACCCTCGCTGTGAAGAACTTCTTCCTTATATCTAATCTAAAGTTCCCCTGTTTAAGTTTAAAGCCATTACCCCTTGTCCTACCACTAGAGTCCCTAATGAAGAGTCCCTCCCCAGCATCCTTACAGGCCCCCTTCAGATACTGGAAGGCTGCTATGAGGTCTCCACACAGCCTTCTCTTCTGAGTTCTTTTTCTTCTTGCCGAAATGGTCGACACATTCAGAGAGAGTGTTAAGAGGTACAGATTCAGTTCCTCTATTGCTTAAGCCCACATCTTAAGTGGTGAAAGAATCCCCAAGCCCTTCTGCAAATCACTTCAAAGGAATATTTGGACAGTTCAGCGATGCAGATACAGCACTATCCGAGTCTTCCTGCAGATCAGAGTTTAAAAAATTGAGTTCCAGGTCTGCCATAGTGTGTTCTGGGGTTGAAGCATTATCGATTGCTTTTCTGAGAACTGCTTTTCTTTGTATGGAATGATCTCAGGTCTGGAACAATTACCTGCACTTCTTGAACTAACTGCTCCAAGCTTGCTCTTACTTTAGCTGAAAAGGATGGTTGGCTTTGCCCTCTGTCACTCATGTAGTGACCAGAAGTCTTCTGGGTAGCATAATCCTCATATTTGAAGATCATGAAACACAAGGTTCACAGGCTGTCACAGGAGACCCTCAAATCATAGAACACCAAGCACATGCTCTAATGGAAGGTTGGACTCATAGAATCATAGAATCAACTAGGTTGGAAAAGACCTTTAAGATCAAGTCCAACCCTTACCCCAGGACTGCCAAGACTACCAGTAAACCATGTCACTGAGGGCCCCATCTACACAGTTTTTCAACACTTCCAGGGACGGTGATTCCACCACTGCCCTGGGCAGCCTGTTCCAATGCCTGAGCACCCTCTCTGGGAAGAAATTTTTCCTGATAGCTTTTTGCTCGCAGTCAGTTACCAGCATTCCTCTAAAAGCATGTTGTGCAGGTATATGTGAACACGACAGTCTTGAAGCAAAGGTGCACCTGCTTTGTGGATCCTAACAAGGAGCAAATAAAAGATTAGTAAAAAGTGGCTTTTCTCTGTCAAAACTAAAGTTCATGGGAGCCTGTCCCTCATGAAGTGGTGTACACCTGAGAAGCTTCAAAAGATTGAAGTCCATGGCTTTTACATGGCCAGGCCACAGCAGAGTGAAGATTTTGAACGGATAAACTTCAGGTTTGGGTCAGAGGTCTAAAGTCCACTTGTGTCTCGAGCCCTATATCAATATGTAGGTTAGCATTAGCTTAATCCAAAAATTTACTGAATGCAGAAAAAAGGAAGCACAATGGCAAGTATTAACTGTAAACTATTAAGCGAATGTGAAGGATAATCAGATATTTTGAAAAGCAGCTATGCAATGGCTATGAATTAGTTAAATAAGAGATGCCCACATAGCAGAGCCCCCAAATTACAGCATTAATTACACAAGCAGCAGTCTCTGACACCAAAACATTTTACGCTAACCTAAAAGATTCATAGATATACCAGAGGCAGGGTGATGGGAAACATAACTCATTTAGAATTGCCAGAAATGAGATCCTTTAAAAATTAAGAACTCATCTAATAGAAATCTGTAGCAGTCAGAGATCAGAGATGCCCTGTCTTTGTATGAATTATATATTCTAAGTCATTCACTGTGGCGTATCCTGATCTTCCCCAAGCTTTTACCTTAAAAGGGTTAGCTGTTCTTGTTAAATCCGTAAATCTGTAGATACTTGCTCAGTTTAGTTTATTTCCAAGTTTATTTAATCTATTGACATTACTTTTCTGTGTAGCAATCTGAAACAATGGCTAGTTTGGAGTCA